AACATGAAATATACAACCTTAGCTAAGTGATGAAAATTAACACCACTACGTAATTAAGTGACAGCGCACATAATCTGGCCACTGAAAAGAATACAGTACCACTTTCTGGTATTCCTGTGCATCTGATTATTTTATGATGAAAAAATATTAAACACATCCAAAAAGGCAACTAAATGCAACATTTGATCCTGGATTGTACTCTGGACCAATTTTTTTTTTGAGACAGAGTCTCATTTTGTCACCCTCAGTAGACTGCCAAAGCGTCATAGCTCATAGCAACCTCCGGCTGTTGGGCTTACTCAATCCTCTTGCCTCAGTCTCCTGAGTAAGCTGGGCCTAAAGGCACCTGCCACAATGCCCAGCTATTTTTTTAGAGACAGGGTCTCACTTTTGCTCAAGCTGGTCTCAAACCCGTAAGCTCAGGGCAATCTACACGCCTCAGCCTCCCAAGTGCTGGGATTACCAGCATGAGCCAAGATGCCTGGCATGCCTGGCTATTTTTAGAGACAGGGTCTCACTCTGGCTCAGGCTAGTCTTGAACCTGTGAATTGAGGCAATCCATCCACTTTGGCCTCCCAGAATAGGATTATAGGTGTGAGCCACCACACCCAGCCTTCTCCTACCTCAAGGTATTCTCTTGCCTTGGCCTCCCAGAGTGCTAGGATTAAAGGCATGAGCCACCATTCCTGGCCTTGGACCATTTTTTTCCTGACCAAGAATGGCAAGGTATTTTGTTTTATTATTACTATTTAAGAGACAGAGTTTTGCTTTACTGCCCTCGGTAGAGTGCCGTGGCGTCACACAGCTCACAGCAACCTCCAACTCCTTGCCTCAGCCTCCCAAGTAGCTGGGACGACAGGCGCCCACCACAACACCTGGCTATTTTTTGTTGTTGTTATTGCAGTTTGGCCAGAGCCGGGTTTGAACCCGCCACCCTCAGTATATGGGGCCAGTGCCCTACCCACTGAGCCACAGGTACCACCATAAAAAGGTATTTTTTAAAAAAGAATAAGGTCTATAGACTAGGGAATGGCATTGCATCAGTGTAAATTTTTTGATTTTGATAATTTATGATTAGATAATAGAATGTCTTTTTTCCTATGAAACATACACTGAAGTATTTAGGGGTAAAGAGGCTTGTCTATAACATACTTTTCAAATGCTTTAGAAAAAATGTGTGGGCCAGGTGTGGTGACTCAGGCCTATGATCCTAGCACTCTGGGAGGCAAAGGTGGGAGGATCCCTTGAGCCCAGGAGTTCAAAACCAGCCTGACCTAGAGTGAGACTCCATCTCCACTAAAAATAGAAAGAAGTAGCCAGGCATGGTAGCACATGCCTATAGATAGTCTCAGCTGCTTTGGAGGCTGAGGCAAGAATATCATTTGAACTCAGGAGATTGAGGTTGCTATGAGCTAGGCTGATGCCATGGTACTCTAGCTTGGGTGACAGAGTAAGACTCTATCTCAAAAAGAAAAAAGAAGAAAAAAATCTGTGTATGTATAGAGAAAGAGAGAATGACAAAATGTGCGGTAAAATAATTGAGGACTCTGAGTGGATGGGATATAGGAATTTTTTGCCCTG